TTTTTTTTTTTTTTTTTTAAATAGAAATTAATCATCATAATAATTGCTGACATATTAAGCTGCTATTGCATATTCATTGGCCAACACTGGCCTTGTTCACTTTTGTTGGCATATCAGTAAATAACATGTCACTGGCCGACATTAACGTTAGAATTTTTGTGCAGTTCAAACTTTTAAAGTTAGTGTGTGAAGAGCCATGATGAAGATCTTTGTTCTTTTCACACAGGAGGGACAAATATGTAACTAAAACTACAGAAACAGGTGATATTTATAAGGGCAATGATTTGTTGCTTGTAATGTTTTCCCAACTCAATATCTTAATCCATTATTATTATTATTATTATGATAGAAAAAGGTATAGGTAAGCCTTCATCTTAAAGCCACTACAGGCAAACGGGGATAAAATGTTGGGTGAAAATTTGCCTCAAAGTGGCCGCCCCCACAGTCTGAGTATCACTATACTTAAAGTTTAATTGCCAATATGAGCACAGAATATCAGGTAATGATTGCATTCAACTTTTTCCATCATCTCCATCCTTCATCCATCAAAATTTGTTGTTTTGCCAGCAGTTTACTTAAAGCAGTGTGACACCAGAGTCTTTTTTAACTCCACTGTAAGCTCCTGATACACACCTCATAATATGTAGCGTCAGAACAGCTCGACTTGCTGCAGTACTTGTTGTGGTTTCACCACAAAAAAGCAAAATAATAAAAAAAACAACAACAATGTTCTGGTTATTCTGCTGTGATGTTGGAAATAGAAGATATTTTAGGCTACAAATTTACTGCTATAGAGATTGTATTGGATCATAGAAGACTGTTCTTGTATCTTGAGTGCAATAAAAAAAAGAGTGCAATAACAACTGATTTTCTTAACATTTCTTTTAAGAAGCAGTGATTTGCAAAATGATGAAGGTGCCACTTTACGTGGTCAGTCCCACTGGACGTCTAGAAGGGAAAAGGTTTAGTGTGGTGACCAGCGTCTAATGGAGGAAACCAGAAAAGAAACTGGGCAACGGCCAAACTTTTTGGCCACTTATTTAACTGAGAACTAAACTGAAGGTGAATTCTGGAGAAATGTTTAAGCTGAAATAAACACTAATGCCATTTTCAACTCTCCCAGCTTCCATTACTTTTTCCCCATCCGTCACAGTGAATGTCACGATGTAAGAGGAAAAGAAATAACAGCAGACTATAGTGCTTAGTATTTTTATTTTCCTGAAGATAAATTTTCATACAATAAAACATTCCATCACAATCCAAATCAAAATCCACCCCATGAGAATTCCCCTACTATGTAAACCTATGACCTCGATTTAACCCTTTCATGCACAAATTATGGGAATTGTGCTAAAATATTTTCCTCTTTTTTTAAAAAATAAAATCTCACTGCCCACACATGTGGACACCATGCAACACAGGAATAAAAATGGGTACAAAGCCAGCGCCGACAGCATACATGAAAGGGTTAAATATGTTATTACTATAGTTGAACGCGTCTCACCCAAAGCTGGAAGCAAGAAAACCCGAGTCTGATATTAAAATGACACAAGAGCCGACTGTGACAACAAAAGCCGAGCACGTGCTTCTTGTTTATGTCAGTTTAGTTTGGATGTTGGCTGCTTAACCGCTGAACGCCATTATCCTCTTAATCACATTATGGACTTTGCTTCTTGTTGTGGAGCTTTGGAGGAGAGCGGCTCAGTTCAGACCTGGATCACAGGATTAACTAGAAAGCAACTTCCGCTTGAGTCCCGAAATGTCCCACGCATCAGGTATGCAAACATCACTGATGAATACAAAAACAAACACAAAAAGAAAACAAAAAAACAACAAAAAAAAAAAAAAAACGACCAGCAAAATATCCTAGTAGCCACCATCTCTCTAGATAAAACTGTAAGTTTAAAACATGATGAGAAAATAAACCAAGTTATACTTGTGTAATGCTTTAGTAATTGTTAGTTGGCTATTGAAACATGACAGCATGGTTAATTTATATTACACCACTTCCCAACACCTTTGCCGGCCTAACTGAGACAACTACGGAGAAGACGAGTGCTGACAATTACTGAACATGCACTTGTTTAACTGTAAGATTATGCAGTTATTGAAGCAGATGCTGCAGCTGTCATGACTATTTATCCCTCAGTCTTTGTGCCATCTATCTACAGCATGTTTCAACCCTTTAAATACTGTTTCTGTGTGAGGTAAAGTTACTGCTTTTAGCAGTTCAGCCAGACTTCCTCTCACCTTGACACAGAAGGAAACCGTTGCATAATCAAACTATGAAAGCAGTGACAGAAAGAGCCATCTCCCCACATTATACATATACATATTATAATCTCTTTTCTACAGTATGGAGCCATCCATAATTCTTGCCACAGTCCACTATCTGTAATAGCATTTTCTGATAAAGAACATTTACAGTATCGCACATTATCTCGCAACAGAGCCTAAACAGACTCAGCCATGAGTCCCTGTCATCCCTGCCTCCTTAAAAGGGCTCTTCTATTGCTTTTACATTGTCAGCAAGTGACCATAATCGAGGTCACATTGTCCTTAGATTAAAAAAAGAAGAAGGAAAAAAAAAAAAAAGAAATCTAGTGGTGTCACAACGTCAACAGAACGATGGATATGGTGCATCATCAGCAAACTGCTAGAACACAGCGATTATCCCTTTAATGGGGCTGATAATGCTAGCGGGATTTGTATTTGACTCGACTTTATCACATCTGTCCAACACAGGCCAGATGTGTGGCCCGGTGAGAGATTCAATATCAAGTTTGCTTTGGAGAAGAGCCGAAAGGTTGTGTCAAAAAGGCCCCAATGCCAAATGAAACTAGCACATTAGTAGGTCTTTCAGCAGCTCTGAGTGCAGCACAAACACGAGTCCATCATTGGACTTCAGTCTAACTAACGTCCCTGAAGTCCTTCAGCCTTTGGAGCCACCTTCGACGAGCAGTTTCTCTGTGTACCTTTATGTGGCCGCAGGCAGCGGATGACATGGAAAAATTATTTACAGTCTCAGCAAATCCCTTTGACTCTATCGAATGACCAGCCAAATACAGTTCAATAAAACAACACCTGGTGCTGGATGAAATGGGCTCTAAAACATATCATAACCATTCTGTTTCCAATTTGTTCACACTCAACACTAATATATATATATATATTTATACTATAGAAATATATAAATATTATAAAATGTCTTTTTTTTACACTATGAGTGAGCATTGGCATGCTATTTGATATCAATGAGCTCTATTTATGCTCTAATCATAAAATCAGTACACTGACAAGGTTTTAGCAACTTTGCATGTGTAAAAAAAACAAAATTAAAAAAAAAAAGCTGAACATGAAGGGATTATTTGGCTATTTATGCTTCTATCTGCGAACATGATTGGTGCTGAAATTGCTTATGTGGCAAGGCGGTGAAAATAAAAATCTGTGGGACTGAATCTGAGGTTGGAACTGTGTAACAGTCGTATCTGATGGTAACTGAAGCCAGTCTGGTAAAGGTATACCTCCCAATCCTTCCCTTTATCCATGTCCAGAACACACCCTCTCTCTGAGGTCAGCTTGTCGGGGAAGTCTGTCATCTTATCTTGAAGGGTAAACGACGCTGCTGCAGGACGGCTGGGTGATGAGTGCGTGTGGGCCAGAGCGGCCATCACGATGGTGGGGCGTTCTGGTTTTGGTATATAGATGCCTTGTCTTTCAAAAGGTCCAGACATAGATGACAGCTCCAGCTTCCTGAGTACCCAAATAACAGAGAGAGGCAGTAAAATCTGATGTTAAACTGCATTTAAACAGGAGAACAGTAGAGGCCCCTAGATCAGTGGGCCCCGACTTTTTTTGTGCCACGGACCGGTTTATGTCAGACAATATTTTCACGCACTGACCTTTAAGGTGTCACAGATAAATGCAACAAAATAAAACCACTACCGGTACAAAAAAAAAGAAGATTTATTGATAACAGACTTGAAAAGACCCAGGGAAACAGTGTTAATGATAAAAATAATAAAAAATAAATAAACTTAAAAACGATAAAACCCTGAATATCATAAATATAAAACCCGAGCCTCAACTCTCGCAGCCCAGTACCAAACGACCTACGGACCGGCCCGGGGTTGGGGACCGCTGTTCTACATGATTAATGAGAGAGCATGCACTGCTGATAAATATAAATATGTTAAATAAAATAATTAAATGTTTTTTTTTTTTATTAAATAGTACCTTAATTACAAAAGACTTGCTGTTTTCTTTGTTTAATAACAATGAAGAAAAGCTCACAGAGACACAACAGCTAGCTTTTCAGAAGCTGCTGAGACGAAAACTTGATATAAAAGCAGACTTATTACAGCTTTGTCCGAAGGCTTTCGTCCAGGCTGTGTAAACTTGGCTCCCTACAGCGTGACTGCGATTGCAGATATTTTGTCCTTTTGCTCAACCTGTGATTGCAGCCATTCCCCAACTCTCTGTGAATGGTACTCATGGCCATTGATCAGTGGTCTTTGATCAGTGGGTTTTGGTCAGTGGTTGTTGATCAATGGTCATGAGAATTTGCATAATTATGATTAAGGAACTGACCTTACAGCCCATTGTTCCTTCAGTGGGCTGGTTTCAGTCATTATGCAAATGTACTGTTTATAAGATTGGGGAAACCTGCAGTCAGCCGAGAGACGAAACGTTTCTCCCAGAAAACGCTACGTCCAGATGAACAGAATCAACTTTTGGAC